AGGCTTTGAAATCTGGCTCTATCTCTCACAAGTTGTATGAATTAGGAAAGTAGTCTAAACTCTCTTAGCCTCAGTTTCCCCATTTCATAAATGACAAGAATAAAAATACTCACTTCATGAGGTTTTGGGAGGATTAAAAGGTAAATTCCACATAAAATATTCAGCACAAGCCTTAGGACAAGAAAATGATTGATGGTGATGATGGTGATGAATATGATGACAGAGACAATGATAGAAAGTAATCTATGATGATATTAGTGATGAGGGGGCCATACAAGGGTCACAGTGAATTTTCTGAAGAAAAGAGAAACTGCTGAAGCATTTTTTAAAAAAATTTTTTACTGGAGTATAGTTGCTTTACAATATTGTGTTAGTTTCTACTGTACAGCAAAGTGAATCAGCAATACGTTTACATATATCCCCTCTCTTTTGGATTTCCTTCCCATTTAGGTCACCACAGAGTATTGAGTAGACTTCCCTGTGCTATACAGTAGGTTCTCATTAGTTATCTATTTTATACATAGTGTATATATGTGTATACACAGTAGTGTATACATGTCAATCCCAATCTCCTAATTCATCCCAACCCCCCTTTCCCCCTTGGTATCCGTATGTTTGTTCTCTACGTCTGTGTCTCTATCTCTGCTTTGTAAATACGATCATCTGTACCATTTTTCTCAAATTCCACATGTATGCATTAATACACGATATTTGTTTTTCTCTTTCTGACTTACTTCACTCTGTGTGGCAGTCTCTAGGTCCATCCACGTCTCTACAAATGACCCAATTTCATTCCTTTTTATGGCTGAGTAATATTCCATTGTATATATGTACCACATCTTCTTTATCCATTCCTCTGTTGATGGACATTTTGGTTGCTTCCTTGTCCTGGCTATTGTAAACAGTGCTGCAATGAACATTGGGGTGCATGTGTCTTTTTGAATTATGGCTTCCTCTGGGTATATGCCCAGTAGTGGGATTTCTGGGTCATATGGTAGTTCTATTTTTAGTTTTTTAAGGAACCTCCATACTACTCTCCATGTTGGATGTATCAATTTACATTCCCACCAACAATGCATGAGGGTGCCCTTTTCTCCACACCCTCTCCAGCATTTACTGTTTGTGGATTTTCTGATGATGGCCATTCTGACTGGCATGAGGTAATACCTGATTGTAGTTTTGATTTGCATTTCCCTAATAATTAGCAATGTGGAGCATCTTTTCATGTGCCTGTTGGCCATCTGTATGCCTGAACCAAGTTTAAAACAAGACCTACATTACACTAGAAAGAAAAACAGTGGGCTAGTCAGATAATAAAACAGACTTCATTAAAAATGGAGGACTATTATCAAGTTTACATTTTGAAATAGCATTCTGATTAGTTAGAAGAATGCTTTTAAAGTTGAAAAGTGAATGCTATAATCTCTGTTTGGATGATAAACTATGTAGTAGATGTCTTTGTGATCATCAGTTGGTATGTTTTATAAGGGGAGTTTTGTTTAATCACACAAATCAGTTGAATGGATATCATCTCCAATATATAATGCAATAGTAATCATAAGAGAAAGAGTTAATATGTATTTTAGCATATTTGTCAGATGCTGCTTTTTGCTACTTACATGTATTAACTCATTTAATCCTAATAACAACCTTATAGACAGTATTGTTATTCTCATTTTACACATGGAAAAATTGGAGCACATAGAAGTTCAGAAATTTGCCCAATTCACACAGCATATGGAGAAGCACAGATTCAAACCACATAGTCTGGATCCAAAACTTGTATCCTTAACCCCTGAGTGAAAAGTGCTATAATAGAGTAGTTTTTAGAGTACCTGGAGCTTAGCAAGCGGTACTATAATCTAAGAGGATATTAAGGAATCAAACAAAGAACTTTGGGGCAATAGGATAAAACACTATTTTAACAAAGTAGAAAGCACAAAGAGGATA